TTTATATTGCATTTCAAAAAGGATATAGAAGACATGAAACATATCTATTCAAAATGATCTTCCTGTTGTACACCTATTTCGGATAAGTGGAACATAGACTCAATGACTTTTCAGATCTCTTGTGCGTATTAGTTGACATTCAATGTGACCATTAAGTTGTACCAATGATATTTTGAACATTTATTGATTAAGAAATAAAACAAAAGAAGACTAGTGAGCACATAGACTGTATCAGAAATGAACACAATATCTGTTAATTTCTTGCTTCAGCTAAGGCTAAAATAGCTTGTGCTTCTTTCTGAGCTGTTTCAAGTAATTTATTGGCTTCATCTTTATAATTATTTTGTATCATCTAAATTAAAAATAAACATAATTTATAAAATTAAGAAAAGAATCAAATATTTACCTTTGTCTGTGAATCGCTATCATCATTAATTTCCGATAATGAAGATGAAAAAATTTCGATACGTTTACATGCACCGTAGACAGCTGTTTCAAGACATTTAATACCAACCTATTATTAATAAAGAGCTTATTTTTGTAAATTATTATAATATCTTTTTAAAACTTACTAAAAAATCTGCTTTTGTATTAACATTAAATAATGATGTTAATCGTTGAAGTGGTTCCCATAAAGCATTGATTTGTCGAGCTATATCTAATGAAACATCAAGACATCGTTGTAAACAACGATTTTCCGTTATTTGCTTACTAAAATAAAAATAACATGAAATAATTTCAAAAAAAAAATATTTTGCTTTTCAACTTACAAACGTTTTTCTTCTTCATTAGTTTCTGCCATTTTTTGTACTGTTAAATATGCATTGAAAGCTTCTGTATCAGTATCTAATGTACTCATCAGTGTTCTTGTTGCTGTATGTAATGGAGGAATAAGAATTCGAATTTCTTTTTCTAATGATTCCCACTAATAATTAAAGCAAAAAAAAAAATAATCAAAATCATACATTATTTTTTTTTCTACTTCCATCAAACTAATTCTTACTTTTCTCATTCCATAAGTAAGTAGTGCACACATTGTACTAAGTGCTGAACCAAGTGTAGCTACCAATGATGTAACACAACTTCCACCAGGTACTAATGTTCGTGCACCAATATGTTTAATTAAATCTCTTAATTCCATGGAAGTTAAACTATCATCTTGTCCTTCTCGTTCACGTATAATATATTCAATAATACGTTCTTTTGGAATAAATGGTGCAATGGAATTTAAACCCAAACGTTGTATAACTAAACGAATTTTTTGATCTTCATCAAGAATAAATAAATTTTCTTTTTCAATAAAATATTCAGCAGCCATTAATAATGGTTTTAATGGTACAAGACCAACTATTTGAGAACCACATACACCAATATTAAGCATTTCAGCTTCAGCTACACATTGATTATATGCAACATGAATATTTGTTACTTCAAAATCAGTTAAATTTAATGATATCTGTGCTAAATTGCCTTCTTCAAACCACCAACCAAGACCACGAACACATTTTAATTTACCAGGCTAGAACGAAAAGAAAAAAAGAAAAGAAGTATTTTTTTTAAACTTTTACTTTTAACATTTACTTCATCTTTGCTTCGTCCTTGTTCACGAACATTTAATGCAATACGATGTGCTTGTTCTTTTGTGCCAATTAAATTAACATTATAAGCAATTAAAAATTTTCTTGCACCAACACAAGTAGCCCCCCAAGATGGAATAAATTCATTAGGTCCTTAAGAATATAATGATTTCTTTTTAAATAAAAAAGACGAATACTTAAATACTTACCAAAATCAGGTTTCCATTCTTGTTTTCGAATCTAGAAAAAAAGTCTTTTACAACGTACACATAAAATTTTATTATCTTACTTTGCTATAAAGTGCTTCATATTCACCTTCACGAATTTGTGATAATTCTCGTCGATATTCTTTTTCTTGTGCTTCACCATATAAATAAACAGGTACATTTAATTCCATAGCTAAACGATCAGCAAATTCACGTGCTATATCAATACAATCAGCCATTGTTGCATTTTGAACGGGTACAAATGGCACAACATCCTGAAAGATGATTTCAAACAAAAACAAAAAAATCTTTCATTTTCAAAGAATTTTTCAATTACCATAGCACCTATTCGAGGATGTTCACCACTATGTCTTGTCATATCAATTAAATTATATGCAGATCGAGCAGCAGCCATTGCTGCTTCAATGACTCCTTGTGGATGTCCAACAAATGCTATTAGAAAAGAAAATACTCAAATCGATTCAAAATGATATGTATATTTAATGTTTTAGTTTTACTATAAATTGTTCGATTTGTTGATAAACCTGGATCGATATCAAGTAAAGCTACACCTTCAACACCAGCAATAGCATGTGCTATCGTATCAATTACCTTAATAATAATTCTCATATGTTTGTTAAGAAAAAAGCAAATAATATAATCGTATAAATTACTTCTTTTCGTTGACCTTCGGAAAAATTTGGTACACATTCGATAACTTTTTGCATTATAATTATTGTTCAATTTTCCAAAAATAATCACAAACAAATAGGATGGTAAATAGCAGCTGATTTCTTTTCTTTTTCTTTCTTCTTCTGTTGTCAATTAGCAATGAATTTTATGAAACATACACAAACAAAAAAAAAAGCTTTTTTTCTCTTTCACTTTTCTTTCTCGATATAATACGAATGTATAAGTGAGAAAAAAAATGAAGCTTTAAAATTGAGAATCAAGTATGCCACTTCTTCTCGTTTTTCTTTTTCTATTCTTTCTTTCTTTCCCTTATTCTCAGCATTTCATCATTGTGTTCAGGAATAAAGGTAATGACAATCTGTCTTTCACCAAAGTAAAAAAAAAAAAAAGAAATACAAAAACTATTCGATCGACAATCATTGCTTAGAAACGGGTTACTTTAAAAAAAGTGGTTGTTAAATTATATTGAATTAAGAGAGAAAAATCTCTTGACATATTGACATTCATTACATTAAATCGTAAAAGGTTCATCTTAATGATTAATATCAAATCATATATTTTGTATTTATTATTAATTTAGATATGATTTTTAAAGTAAAGACTTATTATTCTTATTGTTTTAATGAATAAGAATACAATGCTTTCATTTCTGAAGCAAGAAAAAGCACAGCAACTTCAAGGATTTCTTCAGGCAATCATAGTTCTCGATAACATCTAAAAATAAGGACACAAAAAGCTTATCTTTTTTATTTGCAGAAAGTATAATATAATAGAACAATATTCGCAGAAAGTGAGTGATGAAGTTTTGAAAGACGCAATAGAACATGCCAGAATAGCTAGTAATTCTAGTCTCATACTCCTTGATATCTATACAAGTAGTTACTTGACGATCAACAGTGGTAGCCAGAAACAGCCAATATTGAGAGTCGGGAATCACAATTTTGTACGAAGGAAGAATATCTTTTTTCTAGGAGAATGCAGAGAAAAAAACAAAAATTTTCAACGATTGAGTATGTTACACCTCTGACACCTATCGATCGGACCATCACTGATTATCGAGCAACATCATTTTTAAATACACATTTGATAAAGACCTAGAATTCTTAAAAATAAAAGCTGACGCCATTAGCATTTCGAATTCATTGAAAGAACTTAATGACCATTAATATATTCTGTGAAACACAACCTAAAAGAAGTGTTGAAGTATACGAGTGAGAATTTAGATCTTCTTCCCCCATAGATCATGACAAAATTTGTTCGCATATGATTAGAGACCGTATATCAATAGCATCTCGTTATACTTTATGAACTATTTCCTAATTACATTTCTGAAGGATTAAGTAAAAGGATGATTTGAGAAAGGATCCCCAAAATAGATTAAATAAGGCAATCTCTCGGTGACTAGCAACAGCAGCTAGATCGTGTTTCAAATTTTAGCCCTGTAGGAATTGTGCTAACAGCATTTTTCAATCAAATTCAATATTAGTTGTAGAAAGCAGATACTAAATCGAATCGAGTAGTCCTAGTGTCTCTAATCAGGAATAGACGAAATATTAGAACTGCAGTAGCAAATGATTAGATGTCACACTAGAATTGATATTGATCTAAATTAAATTTTTTAAATACATTTGTGCATTAAAATAGAGTTTTTAATATTAATGCATAATTGTCGCCAGTTTTTATTCTAATGTTAATACAGAATCTCACATAGTTTACAGACGATGATTTATCGTAATACACAAAAATGGAGAAATGTAAAAATAAAAGAAGTATGTTGTATAGAAGTAATCTATCATCATACACATAATCAGTGTAACTGTTATAAAGTAAAAAAGGCTGTATTGTATGAAAATTAAATTAACAATGCCAGCCAAATCAATTAAAGCTCGTTTTATCTTGTGCGGCTGCGTTGCACTTTTACAAAGGCAACTCGCAGTGAAATTAATTATTTTTTTATTTGAGATTTGACACCACTTGACTGTCTTCTTGAAAATTAGTTGGGTTAGTTTTCAGTCTCTGATAGACACAATCTTTGTTTGATCTCTTATTTCAGTATTCCTATCAAAATTTTAGATCGAAACTATGAGACTTAAATCCACATACACTCTACATAATTTAACGAAATGTATAGCATTCAAATATATAACAGTAGTATTGTTTAATATTCATATATTTAGAGAAGCTAAATTTTATAATAAGTGTCTACTTATCGTCAATCTTTGTTGAAAGATTAATTTTTCAATATTTATATCTTTTACAGATCTATATATATATATTCTTTTTGATCATTTAATTAAAAAAGAAATATCTTCGCAACATTCAGATATCTCAATGAATTTTAATATTTGCACTATGCCCTATTCTATTGTTTTCTTTTTTATGCACATAAATGCAAACAAATATACATCTGATGCCCCGCCTTTATTTTATTCTAAAATATTTTATTATTTTCTCAAGTATGATATGTGGGCGTTGATATATGCGACATATATAATCATTCGAAATGTTGTCAAAATATTCAGTCATGGGCCTATTTCGAAGTGTAAGACCACTGTTATCGACATCTTCTGATAATACAAAACGTATTCTTCTACTTTCTTCGTTACGTTCGGGTAGTGGTAATGCAGCAACAGCTTCACGTATAGCTTATGAACTACAAAGATCAACAAAATATTTGATGGATTGTGTGTCCGTTGATACACCACATACAGAATGTGATAATTTATCAACATCTATTCATCGATATTCAGCTGTACTTGCTTTACATGCCTATCGAGCTGGACATATTTTAACACCAATATATAAAGATGAACAAAAGGATCTTCCACCATTAATACTTATATTTGCTGGTACAGATTTACATTCATGTGAATCAAAATGGATTTCAACACTTGAATATATTATTCCACGTGCAAGTGGTCTTGTTTGTTTTAGTTATGAATGGAAAAAATATGTTGAAACAATGTATAAGAATTATCTAACATGTAAAATAACAGTTATACCACAAAGTGTTCTTTTATCACCATTTATTTTTGAACATTTACCAATATCAATGAATAAGAAAACAATTATTTGGACAGGTGAAATTCGTTCTGTTAAAGATCCAATATTTGCTATAGAATTTTTATCATATCTAAATGATAATGATTATCATCTTTTTCTTGTTGGTTATGAAAATGATCAAATATTAAGTGATTATATACGTTCATCATATTCTCAATTAAATCTTACACTTATTGGTGGTCAATCTCAAAGTTTTGTTCATACATTAATGAAAACATCATTTGCTTATATTAATACATCAATCAATGAAGGAATGTGTTTAGCTTTGCTTGAAGCCATGACACTTGGTGTACCAGTACTTGCACGTCGTAATACAGGCAATACAAGTGTTATTAAACATAGAAAAACAGGTTTTCTATTTGATACACCGGATGAAGCTGCTCAATATCTGGTAGAAGTTGATAATTGTACTGAATTAAGAAATGAATTAATACGACAAGCAGAAAAATATGTTAAAAAATATCATAATATTGCTAATGAAACAAAAGCTTATCGAAATTTACTCGTTAATTTAATAAAATAAATAAATACATAGTCATATTTTTCCTTAAATAATAAAAAAACGTACAAGTAGAGTTATATTTAATGACTACTTGACAATGTGATAAGAAAACTGTCAAGAATCGAACATCATAAATAGAGTGAGATTTTGCGACAAACATCAGATACAGATCTAATGATTGCTTATGAAGAAGTATTCAACTAAGTATATCGAAAAATACTCGAATATTCTATAATGATTGTTTCTATATGATAGATGAAATCCAGTAAAGATCAGATTAAAAGCAAAATGAATAAATATAATGATATTCAGTAACTTGAAAAGAAAACTAGGATGTTAACAATATAATAATAAACAACTAATCATAGTAACTCAGTTTAATATAATTTTATAAACAGTATGTGGCTGTTATTATGATATTGCTATTATTCAAGTTCTTTTTCGCACTTACTCATTTGTCGCATTGCAAAATCATATATTTGAATAAATAATTTTCATTTAAAAACATTCTTTTATACCTTAGTGAGAATTATAACTAACCTTACATGTATACAATTTCTGGTTGCTATTGTTTTATTTCTAGCTATTATTGTTTATTTGGTAATAAATAGAAACCTAAGATCACAGATGATGTCTTTACAGCTGATGATAATGGTTTACTATTATAATGATATAGTAGTCAACAATAAAGAAAGTTTACTTCATTTTGAGCTATAAATAGTGAGCATCTTTGAGAGAATTCAAATGTAATATAATTAATGTTGACAAAGAAGAGATATGATTACATTAGTTGTAATCGATATTCCTTTTTTATTTTTTATTGAGTGTGCATTTACTCATGTTTGTTGAATTATATATATTGTACTCTTGGTATTTACTGATGATATCACATTCATTCAACATTATCATTTCAACTAATATGTCTTCGGATCTTTATTCATCGACACCGTTTTCTCGTACAGTTTTTAAGATTTGTGATTTCATTGTGATATCTATGATTACATTCTATGACGTCTCAAGAGAGTTGACCGATGGTTTCATCGCAACAACCTAGTTTCGTATTCTTTGCAGGAGCAGAAAATCAGCAGCAGTAGCAAAGAAAAATTGATTGTATATAACCTCATGGGTCTTGAGTAGTGATAATATTCAGAGGAGGAAAATAAAATTTATTCTATGTAGTGTAGAAAAGAGTAACCATTGCTTTTTATTTTACGCCTTACAAACGAAGAGCTCCATTGCAAAGTATAGCTTTACATAGAATCAAGAAGATCAAATTACTAATATCGAAAATTGTGACAAATAGAGAAATTACAAATGACTTTCTTCTAGCTTGAAAAATCTGATGATTAATTCACATTTAGTTATCTCGAGTGATGATTTATACTTGAACGATTTTCTAACGCTCAAAAAGAATAGATTATATGTATGACTAATTTATCTCAGGTGTTTTAATTTTATTGTCATCAAAAAAAAAGAGCGCATTTATTTCTTGATTTAGGATATTTTCGAGAATGAAATTTAATAGTATTCCTGATTATGCTTCATTAAATAAAATAGTGAAACGAAGAAATTTACTTAGATCCATTGTTTTATTCTTTTTTTCCAATTTTAATTTTTTTGCATTTTGATTTCACGTTTCTTATTGATGAAAAGAAACAAGCAACCACAAGGTTCACTCTATACATATATTAAACGAGAATGTATAGGTTTATTTGATATGTAAAAACTAATCAATCGATTTTTTTGAAATATTTCAACAAGAAAAAGAGAACTGAAAATAATTTTGTCAAATATAAGTATGTAGTTTTCGTCTTTGATGATCGATGCTTGCAAAGGTCTGAAAAATTTGGACAGAAAAAACTTTCGTGTATTTGCGTAAAACTTATGTTCATAAATCTCAGCTTGGAGAATAAAGACTTCCACAAAAAAACAATCTATTATTTTAATTCCTTCTTGTCTTCCGATAAAGCATCTAAACTGTTATACTCTTGTAACCCTCATTTTGCAAAAATCGAATTTTCGACGAAGACAGGGTGTTTCCCATCGAATGCAGCTCCTGGAAAATTCCCTATAGCTTCATTCGGTTGAAAGTGACAGTTTAGTTCGATTTCCTGTTTTATAGGCAACTGTCCGCTCTACAAAATAACTGAATTCATTAGTTTTCAACACACCAGCACAAGGACTTATGAAATTAGCTTAACTAATTCTTCAATACTTTGAGAGGTTCTCTCTCTAATCTTGAACAAAAATAGGCACAATATGTCTGATTTCATCTTCAGAAAGACTATTAAATTTTGACTCTGAACTATAATTTGTTACTTGTCTGATCTATTTTCAAGCAGATCGAAACTAAACTAAATGAAGAATCTTTTACATCAAACAACTGCTAATCTTTAGTTCATTTCCCACCTTACTACCTGATGAATTTAAGAACGTTATCTACACGGCGCCATATATAAAAACAAGCAGATAATAAACACATGAAAAGTTCTAACTTAGCAAATTTATTATGCTTTACGATTTGTTGATTACTCAATTTCCAAAAGAATTGTTTGATTTTTCTTTTCAAAAACCTAATATCAACTAAATCAAAATTTGGTTCAACTGAATTTTAAAATTTACCATTAATTCAATAAAATTATAAGTGTTGTTTAAAAGATTTGATTTATCTTTTATGAACAACAAAAAATACTTTAAAACTAAAGATAATCTTGAAACGAACCATTTTCTTTATTAAAAAAGATGAGCAACAATCAAATTATGATTTATCTTAACTAAAAAATATACACTAAGATACTATCGTTAACAAGATTTAAAAATAATTTTTTAATTGTCATCATGACGAGATTTGTTATTTAAAAATCGAATAGATTGTTGTCGTTGATATGATGGTGATATTATACCATTAGCAAGATGTGATGGAGTCATTCGAGGAGATGGATAAACGCCAAATGAATTGGTACTTGATTTTTGTCTCTATAGACGATATGAATAATATTTTTAGGAAAATGTCTAATTCCTTTTTTCTTTATTTACTCTATTTGAATCCATTGGTGTTTTAGGATAAGAAACCAGGTTTTGTTTTGATGATAATTTAGTTGATTTGATTAGATCATGAGCTGGTTCCTGTAGGATATTTTTTTTGAACACAAAAATATGATCGACTATTAGTCAATATGAATACTTACTTGTTCAGAAACTATGGTTGTTTTATTCATATGAATATAATCATTTTGTTTTGGAGAATACTATGTAGAATAAAACACAATGAAATATGGAAATGACAAATTTAAACTTACAAATGGTCGGTTGAAACATGAATTATGTCCATTCGAACTAATTAAATAACTATCACTACCATAAATAGATCTTCGTTGTTCGGAAATCCTATAAAAATAGAAGAATTATATATGTGTAGAGTTATAGCCAGAACACTATTGTATTTGTTCTTCACAAGTGCAAATGTTGTTAAGTTAAATCAGAGCAAAACATGACTTACTTCTATAAAAAAAAAAACTCATATCAATTAGAGCAAAACAAGAGCTCAACCTCTCCTGTCACTTTGAATGTCCAAAGCTAAGGATAAAAACATGAGTGTTACACCAAAAGCTTTTAATTGATTATGTATCACTTCTTATAAAGAAGGTATCGTCGTTCGACGATTTATCATGCTAAATTTAAGGTCACAGGTTTTCTTGAAATTAATGAATGTTGGTAGTTCTACGCTTGATAAAGACAAAAGACTGTCTACGTATATTGGCTGTACTTATACTTTTTTCTAACTTACAGATTATTAGTGTTAGTGAAGAATTAAGACGCTTATCATAAAATTCTTCTCTGTATGTATTGCGATAAATAATAATTTATAGTTTCTTTTCAACATAGATCATCTAAATTGCAAAAACTGAAATTAATATTACGAAAACTTTTGCCTTGTCGAAAAGCATAGATTTTTCGTTCTTTTGTTTTTTTTTGCATTTCAATCCTGCTATCACTCAAATAAATTAAAAATCTTTTACAAGAAATTAACATTCTTTATTTTTAAGCTGTACAACTCCATAATAGGATTATTTTCTAATTATTTATACAAAATCATTCTTTTCAAGTCGATACAAAGGACTAATACATTACAATACCTACCATGGATATTTCTGATTTAGTTGTTGTTCAAAATTACGACTAGTTTTATATGTTGTTGGAACTAATTATATGAATATGAGATTGATTTCATATCTATGTACATAATAATCAATCACTAACCTGTTGAGTCATTATCAACTTGATCTATCAAATCTGACACTATTTGATATTGCTAGAAAATCATAAAATAAAATAATATCATAAAATCAGGTTTCTTTGCATTTGAATAATTACAGTTTGTCGTGAAGATGTTCGTTGAGGAATAGGTGTTGTGTCTCTAGGTGAATGATAATCAACTGTTCGACTACGAAAAAAGTCTTGATTAATTTCACGAGGCTATAAAAGCAAATTAAAGTTCGATAAAAAGAAATTCTATAAATAAATATTCTAACCGTAGGTCGTGGTTCTTGTAATTCATTATTAAATTCATCTTGTATTTGCTGATATGACATTGATACATTTTGATTATTATTTGTTTGACTTGCATATATATTCGTTTTTTGACTTGGCATAAAAGCCATTGATGATCGATTGATGTTGAATTCTGATGTTTGTTGTTGTTTATTGGAGACTGTTTGATATTGATCTAAACTATATCGTTTGAATTTTTTATCCATCTTTTTTGATAATGTTTGTAAAATATTTGTTGAATGTTCTTGTTGTTTAGATCTTAATAGAATTCCATTTGAAGCATAATTTAATGTAGAAGATGTAGATAATTGTTGTTCAAGCAATGCTTCTTGTCGTGTTGAAGATGGTATTGATTGAGGACTTTTAAGATATTGTTTTCGCGATAGAATATTCTTAGAATCATCGAGATCATTATAATCGGTTGTAATATTTGAACTTCTTGGACTAAAAATAGAAAATTGATTTAATTGTTCATCACTTGATTGTGTGCGTATGAGTTTTGGTTGACGACGATAAGATGTTGTTGATCGATCAGTTAATTGTGTACTACTATGATATTGTATTTGTTGATTAATAGAAGATGAAACAGCAGACGAAATATCATTTAGATGATCAATACTTTTACTGTTGATATTTAATGGTGAAAATCGACGTTGAATTTGAGTTTCATTATTTTCATCATTTCTTTTAAAAGAAAAACAAGAATTAAGAATTTTTTTCACCGTTTTAAATTTACAATTTGCTATAATGTTTATCAACAGATGGAATCGTACAGTTCACTATTTCATTGTTATGATGAATTTCATATAGAGATGCGTTTGCTGAACCATAAGTCATTTTTCTAAATTTATTCAATATATCAAAATCAATAAAGATTCTTTTATATAAATGTGTCATAGGCAAAATCGAGTTTCAGATACAAATAAACTTAAACAGATTACGCTTTTAAAATAAACTCTAATTTTCATTTTCATCAAGCGAACAAAACACGTACACTATGCATTTTCACTATTCGTATTATAATTCATGCATGAATGACTTTTTCTACATAGATATCGGAAAATGATGCTCGAAAGTACTGTTTATGAAAAAAGCAACATGTTCATTTTTTTGAATACCAAATTTTGAGAGAAGACATTTTATACCCTACCATATGGAATATATAATCTAAACAGTTCTTCATTATTTTTTGGTTCGAAAAAGCTTAAAAATCCTTTCTTTTGTTTTTTTTTGGTCGGAGCTCACTAAGACTAACTAGATTCAATGTAAATACACTGGCGAACTGTACAACTGCCTAGATTCAACTAGGCTTTAATTAAAGTTAAGCATAACTTAATATAAATATATAAGATCAGTTATTTGTTCTCATCTTTACTGATTTTTGGGAAACAGGATCTAAAAAGAGTGTTAAAGTATAGAGGTCGAACTTTGAATTCTTCGCTCTCACGAAGATGAGAGACGTGACCCAGAGATCAAAGTTCATTGCAAGATTAGTATGATAGTTATCCTTTACTTTTCTTTGACGCTCACTGTAATATATTGAAATTAATATCTTTCATTATTGGCATGCATTAAGAGTAGATACGAATTCATAGACCAAAACATATATTAATAAATCTCTTTTTTTAAAATATCAGTAGCTCTATCGTGTTTTACATTTTAATCCTTCAAGAATTGAGCTAAAAGCTTATTTGTTTTTTTGAATTTTTTAAAATTCTATTTAATTTTGTCTAAAACTCAATTTTGTATGACACATATATTTATATATACGATTGATGATATTGTTGTTGAAAACCATTTTGATTTAAATATAGAAAAGCTTCATGTTCAATACATTTTTCAGCTGTTAAACGATCAGCAGCATATAAACGTAAAGTATTCTTACAAAAAAAAGCAAAACAACAAGCTAATTGAACATTATTATAGATGAATATTTTTTTACTTTAAATAAATGCATAATATCCGACGGAAATAAATGTCCAAAACGTTGTTCTAATGTATCTAAATGATGAATAGGAGGAAACTAAAATTTATAATTTGGATTTTGTTTTTTAAATGAAGAATAAAATTTTTGTAAAATACTTTTAAGCCTTGAAATTTTGGATTTGTATTCATTGTTAACATATATTTTGCTGGTAATGATCCTAAGCATTTTTGAATGCGATATAATTGATCAATGTCACTTTCTCCAGCTTTAAATATATTGCATAGGAATAAAAAGAAAGAAAAAAAGAAAGAAAGAGAATGTTTACCGAATAATGCTTGACCAGTTTTAAGTTCAGCCATGATACCTGAAAGAATCAAAATATTTCGTTTTAGAAGAAACAAAAAAGCATTACATACATCCACATGCCCATAGATCAACTGGTTTTCCATATGGTGAACTGAAAATAAAATTCGAGAATTATAACTTATGTCAGATATTTATGTTTAGAGAAATTATGAAAACAATAGATTTCTAGTTTATTTTAAAAGTTTTTCAACTGATACTAATACCATTCAATCGGCTATAATGAGTGTTTAAAAAGTATGTTTTGGTCTGGCTGTTCAGTCTTTCCTTGATAAGTTATGGACATTGTATTCGATATCTGCTTTACTAGCATAGAACCGTTGAGAATCTGAATAATCTAATTTCAAGCTGAAATTACGGCCATCGATAAACTTTACAGTCACTAGAAATACCCCAAAACTTGAGTTCGAATGACCGTATTGCTGCTAACGTATTTACATTTTAAATAAACGTCTTTTTTTGGATTGTGTTTTAGAAAGGAAAGACATTTCTATGACAATCTAATACCTCAATATGGATCATCTAGGTTCTCAACAATTCAATGCTCATAGGACAAGAGCTGAGTAAAACAGTCGTAGCTGAACAAACAAAGATCGGAAAATCAAATTAAAGCAGATTTAAAAAATTAATTACACAGTTGCAAACGTTCCCTCGTACGTGATACTTTCACTTTATATAAAACTTTTCAATATTAACAGAATTATCCTTTGTTCTTTTGCACTATAAGTTTATCTTTACCCGACTAGTAATTCCGGTGATCGATACCATCGTGTAGCAACCTAAAATAAAAATAGAATGAAAAACACAAACGAAAATTAAAAAAAAAAACACAAATTTTTTACATAATCAGTATAATAATCAGCCATTGATTTTGTATTACAAAATCTAGCAAAACCAAAATCACATAATTTTAAAATAAAATTTTCTGATATAAGTAAATTTTCTGGTTTAATATCACGATGAATTATTTCATGTTTATGACACCAATGAATAGCACTAAATAATTGATATGATAATCGACGTACATGATCCAATGATAGACCTTCAGGATGTTCTTGTAAAACTTGTAACATATTCTGAAAGAGAAATTTTATGATTAAAATGAAGAAAAAAGATTACATATTCAACTAACCCATTCGACATATTCGAATACAAGACAACATCGTTTCTTATCACGAAACCATTCAATTAATTCTACAACATTTTTAAATCGAAGTGATTGAAGAATTTTTAATTCACGTTCAATAACATCAGCATCAGTATGATATCCTTTAAAAAAAAGCAAATTATAAAGAAATAATATAGAATATTCATTAAATATTAAACCAGGAGCTTGTTTAAAATATTTTATGGCAACAAGTGTGTTTGAATCCTAATTGAAAAAGAAAATCATTTTGCTTTCTTTCTATTATGAAAACATACTTTTTTTCGAGCTTTAAGAACAACGCCGTACGCACCTTATAAAAAAAATAGAAGATTAAAAGATAAAAAAAGAAGAAGTTTGCAAAATCTACCTTCACCAATAAGACCAAGTATTTCATATTTGTCTTTAATCTTTCGTGGCACGTATTTCATTATCGATCACTGCGGTTTTTTTTCAAATATCGTGAAAAAAAAAAAGAAAAGAAATCTCACAAAGAATTCTTATAAGCAATCGATCGATGTGTTTGTGTATCTTTCTGTACGACTATTAACAGTCTGAAGCCTATAATTGTGATGATGCCGATGGCAGCATGATCGTCTTTTTTGTTTGTTTTATTTGCTTGCTTTGTTGTGTCCTTTTTTTTGACGTTTTCTATACTTGTTTTTTTTTCTTTTCAAGAATTTTTTTAAACAATTTATGCTGAATCAATAACTATGACAATACATACAGTCGAAGGAACTAAGCAAGATATGTAAGCCGAAAAAATCTTCCTTAACTCATTTAGGAATCGTGAACTAATTATCAAGCACGAATTCTTATGTTAATATAATACAATCATTATTTTATCTTTGATAAATAGCAGCATAACATATTCTAATTCAATAAAATTTAAATTTTTAATCTTATATAGGTAAATGTTTAACTTCGATTCTTTTAAGATTATAAATATGTTCATTATAGCTAATGAATTACAGACATATACAGCATCAATCTGTATAAGTAGATTACCATTTTGTTCAATCCAGAATCGATCTATTATTATCAGTTCAACTGTACACAAAAAAGGCAATGTAATGCTCAATCTTGCTGCTGTCTTTTCTTGACTAATTGGTTTTGAAAACAACAAATGGAGCTATATGTTTTGATTGTCCATGATCTCCTTCAATTAAAACTATTAATTTTTATCGAAAAAAAAAAAGAGACTACCAAAGTACTTCTATTTGATGATATAGAGAAATATAAGAAACACGTATTTATCGCCCACCATCACATACTATTCATCATCTACCTAATGTTATTTAATTAATGACAATGAACAGCATCGTTATTTTTTTTTAAATCGATTTCATTTTCTTTTTTCCGATATTCGGTCCTTTGAACAAGAACAGTCCAAAATATTCATCTAAAAATCATGTTAGTTGGATTTTATTGGACATTTGAGCATTATAATGATGTTGTATATACAATGAAAGATATTTTGGTTAATATTTTGAATAAAAATCATTTCATGATTCATGCCTTTGCTTATTTCCGTTTCAACATAATTAAATGTTAATTAAAGCATAGAAACATTGTTAGCGGCTTGTTCACGTAACTCGATACTACGTTGATCAAGGTTTTGAAAAACTTTTTCTCCAAATTGGACATATCTGGATGTATTATTGAGTCCAGTTTTTCAACAAGAATTATTTCAAAAAAATTTGATTGATATACCATTTAATGCAGAATTTAAAACTATACAACATGACCTTTTGATTTGTGACTTTCATTGTCGAGAATAAGTTAGACATTCTTGCACACTGTTCAAATTACTGTGCAGTTAATAAGTTCCTGTGTTTATGTAGCGACATCATTTTTGGGTCGAATAATTAGATATACAGAAAAAACCAATATTTATAAACACTTCATATTTGCGCAGAAATAGTTTAGAAAAAATTTTTGACTGCTTTAACTCCTTGTTCGATGCTCTAAACCACCATCTCCAGAAACATTTCATTTGGAGAAATATCTTCGCAAGAAATTAGAGTTTTATCAACGGCACTGGATGGATAGAGTCTTTTTAAATAACAGCGTCACATTTGTACAAGCTGATGTACTTCATGAATAGCTCAGTCATTGACAAATAAATATAGATGACCATGTTCATCAAATTCAGTGCACCTCAAATGAGTTTTTCCCTTTGTATTTCTTACTTTAGACTATTATATATTGCTTTGTTTTCTTCAAGCATGAGTATACGTCGAGAAACTACAACTTTTACTACATCGCATGATATAGTAATCGTTAATAAAAAAAAAATAGAAATCAAACAAGAAAATAACAGTAAATAGGATTGAAAAACTATAATCATTTCAGCAAATGATATCTATGGTAAAATTTTGAGATTTCTGTCATGCAAACTAGAAGAGCTAGATAGGATCCATTGAAGCTGAGTAAACGAACCCATTTTCTTACCTTATATCCGTTTGGAAGATTTTCAAATCTTATTGAATCTAAAGTTATGGTTATAGACACCGATCACACAAGCTCTGAAAGTTTCATTCCATTTCTATGAAGTTGATATAAACCCTGATGCATTCTCGAAAGAAGTACTTTATCTCGACATGAATTGCATGTCAAGTGAAACAGGATATCTCACAAATGTAACATTGGAATGATGTGTACGATCAGCAAAAGCAAGATACAGCTCGTAAAATGTCAAATAATTCAATGTTTTGTAGAGAACTTGTGTGGCGAGAAACTCAAACAAGGAATTCACGATATTTTTGAGTGGCATCAGAGAACGACTAAACGAAATAGCTCGACTTTCGAGTTACAACACACTATCTTTTTAGTCTAAAAAAGAAACAAAATTAAGCTCTAATTTTTATTGGCAATAAGCTGCTCTTGTTCATTTCTTTTTTTTCTACGGAACAAAGTAGCATTCATAATCTATTGTCAGCAAGCAGATTTCGGTCGAATTAAATTTTAAAACTTCTATACAGTTGATAGAATAATAAAGCATAAGTCGAGATAATTGTTTTAATTACAAGCCAGTACAAATCAATTTCCTATCCGTCATGGAAATAGTTGAGATGTTCTCTGTAAACATGTGATCATAGTGAAATATTTACATTTATAGAAGCACGATCAAACATTATATGATCCTATGCTTGAATTTTCAGAAAAATAAACAGCTACAAGATTCATGTATAGAAAAGTAATGTTTGTCATTGGACTATATTGAAATCAATTGTCGTGCATTAAAATTGAATGCTATCTATGTTTATGGTGGATCATAAATTATAAAAACAGAAAACAGTAGAAGTAATTCATAGTGGTCGAAAACCAAGAATTAAAAGCTCTTTCATTTTAATAAAACTATTTTAAATGATGCATAATTAATTTAACTTGAATCAAGATTAAGACTCAAATGAAAATTGAGGGATTATGATTGTAGACATTCATGGTCAAATTTCAATAACAACTGAATTTTGTTTTTATCAAGTCTTTTTTTAAGTTTGTACTTTCAAATCCATTTGAACGTATGATCAACTCTGACACAAGAAATCTCATCCGAAAAAATTGCGTTTTATTTTTACTGTAAAACTAACAAGTGAAACAATAAAAGTATTGTTATTTACTTAGATGACATTTATCTTTCTCTCTTTCTATTTCGAAAAGCAAAATTGTTCACTCCTACGAAGTCAATGGTAGTACTAAATAGAAATAAGCAGACACCATCGAGCAGAGACGTCCATGAATGCCTTAACCTTTTCCGTAGTATCAAATTTGAGCGTTGAATTCAATTCAATTTTCCACATTCAATCATCTGTTTTTGTGGCATCTGTTTGCTTGTTTTGTTTTAAAATACTCGTGTTTCACAATCATAAAAACAAGTGTGATTCATTTTTTTTTCTCGGTTCATTCATGGTTGCTTCAGCAAAGACAATACTTTTTTTCGATCCTCAAAGTATAGTCGTCGATGTTGCTGCGCAATATTGATGCCATTTTCTAATGTTCGAGTATCTTTTTGTTTCATATTTCTTTTTTTCTGTTCTACTAAAAAACATACATATATTCCAAATTGCGCTTCGAACCTCTCATTCTCTATCCAATACTTTCAAAACGATGTCATTAACAATGGATCATGAATCGATACTCCAAGGTGTAGCAAGCTGACTGTTTCATAGACTTTTTTCATCTTCTCTATTGATGGTTTTTATTTAGAAGCTAAAGCTGGCCTCCAGAGACTGAATAAGAGTGCAATCACAGAACTCATGGCTTTCCGTCAACCACCTGCTGGTGTTGTTCAAGTGCTCGAAGGTGTAGCTGTATTGTTAGTTCCATCAAAACGAATATATGATTGGAAGGACATCAAAATATGGTTGGGTAGTAATCCCAATAATCTTATAACGATGTTGAAGAATTTTGAAGTTGATCAACTCACTGAAGAACAATTGCAACGTCTCATATCCATTCTAGCTTGCAAAGATTGTGAACCAGAGCGTGTTTTAAAGTGTTCTATTGCAGGCCATATGTTATGTATGTGGCTTAGAGCAATCGTTCAATATTCAACAGTGCAGCGACAACAACAACAACAACAACAAACTGTATAAAGAACAATCACGTATTGCATTGAACTGAGCGCACTTCTTCACGGTAATAAATTAAATGAGATCAATGAGTTATGATTAAAACTTCAAAGCGAGAAATTCAAGCGAATAAGTCAGAACGAAGTGCGGTATTATATGAATAGCTTATATTGTAATGTTTTAGATACAGAAAAGAAAAAGCTTGTCTTTTCAATTAAAAATGCTTTCCAAAACAGAAATAAAGATATGTTGGATATAGATACCAATGCTATCTTCTCCAAATTTGCTCAGTTTTCGATGAATGGAAGCATATATTCTTATGAGGTTCGGATTTCTCATTTGTAAATGATGTCTTTAAAGTTATACTTCTATTCAGCGAGTATAGGGTCGAACCAAGGCAAGTTTTGGGCATTACTACAGAACCTCTAAGCAGCTTCCTTGTGTTAGAGCTATCTTCATTGTCTTGCTTTCTACTTTCTGAGTATTGAACGAGGGTTACGTGATCTAGCATATTCTCAAATTTTTGTAGTGTTTCATTAAGTATTAACTTTAACTGAAATATCGTGGATTTGCACCGTGAGGTTACCCATAGGTAGTAATTGAGAAAAAGGTTCAATATTTGTACAAAAGTTCTTGGAGAGATATGTTTCATAACAGAATAAGAACATTATCTAATTTCAAAATATCTAAGACGAGAAAATGATATCACATTTACATGATTAATAACCATGGCGATATCCATTTGACTATCACTGCGTCGTATATGAAATCCATCAAAAAAAATGTGGCAAGTTATCAATGAAATCGAACTTAGATAATCAAATTTGTAAAAATGCGAAAGTATCCATTTCGATGAACCATGATGTATTATCAAGCAATTTTGGTGAATACAGATAACTAAAGTGTTCGATTTGAGAAACCTGAAAAGGAAAAGTTCAATTTGTTTAGGTTTATAACTGTCACCGAAATGTGCAAGAAAAACGATTTGATCTGGTCGATTCTTTGTTTCAGATACATTTTCAAGTGTCTCGCACATAGAAGAGATGATTTCAGAATTACAAATATAGCTATAATCAATAAAGATTGAAAATGTGGCAGATTTTCTCTACGGAAGTGGAAACTTTTCTCTTCTTATATTGCGATTTCTGGACACCTAGTTCTGACAACGAAGCCGGTAGAATTATGTGTTTTTCTCAGACATAATACATCTGATCGAGCTAAAACATTCTCTACAAGTACTAATTAGCAAAGATAGGTTTGATTCAAATTTTCAGAATTCTATTTTTAGTCTTTATGTTTATCTTTTCACAAGATAAAGATTCTACTATTTATATATATCAATGTGAAAAGAATTTTTGTAAACTATCCTACCTACACGACCATCAAAAGTAATTCAATTCTGGTCTCAAAACAATGTTTTATTCTCTACTACTGTATGTTTTTTACGAAAGAAAAATGTTTCATTCATCTATATAGATACGAATTTTGACTGTTGCATTGCAAAAGCACGACAAAAATATATAGATACATGTCTTGAATAGAGCATGTAATTATGAAGAGTTCTACGTATTACGGAAAACATAAGTAACATGCTATCTAATTTTCTTTCAAACTTTTAGTTTCATTTAAACATGGTTGAATCAGCTTTGCATTGTTCAATCATAATATTCAATCAATTTTTTTCAATTAAATTATCAAATCAACTTTCTTCAAGTAATTACTTCGTCTAAGAAAGAGAATGTCTAACTCCAGCGTAGTTTCCAGTGTTTGATTGATCAAAAATTTTTCATAATGAATAATTCACTGAAAAAGAGAGATCTCTACGAGAACCCAACTCAGACAATGTGACCATTGTAGAGCTTAGGTTGTGCCATTTGTAAACTAGATGACTCGAGAATCATCACATTGAGGATATTTTGTTTCTATTCGATGTCCCAAAAGTTCGTTGCGAAACCAAACTGGAATAACTTTTCAACAACTCAAGCAAGTGGCATGAGCTTTGCATTGTCTGATGAGTTAGTCTCTGAACTTTTATTTCACGTAATTTGATCCACAATTGCTGTTTAAAAGGATCACCATCAACTGAAAGACATGAATCCATTCTTGTCGAAACATTGGTAAAAGTAGCGCATAAAGCTTCTTCTGAGTTCATCTTGTTCTCATCATCGATATTTCTTTACACATTAACAATCTGTTTTGTCGTCAAATTTATATCATAGGACTTGTTCCTATGTAAATGAAAAAATGATGAAAATAAGATGATCTGAAAAAAGATTTTATGCATTGCTTTTGCAAATGTTTCGAGAAGAATGGATTTATGAGGCTATGAATTAAGACGAAATCTATACCCACACTCTGTATCTGTAGTCTATGTAGTCGCTATCGAAAGCCTTCAACAAATTTCAAAACACTTCATATCTTAGTTCAAAAACTTTTGATCATATATATTCTCACATCGTTGACTAAACAAAAGATGACAATTCTATCAAATCAAGACTTTTCTCTTATTCGAGCAACTAAATTTGTAATTATTTTCCTCTTCACAGTCTGTCAATTTATAATTCCTGTAAACAAAATTAAAATGGATGGTGATTTTTATCAGCTTAATCTAATTGACATAAGTGTAGCTTTTTTCCAAAAGGATAATCATAATAATCAAGTATCAACAAGAAACAACATCATAGAAGTAGAAGAGTCATAGAGGTGGATGCACGAAGAAATATTCACGCATGACGTTGCTTTTCTTGTAGTTTTTTCTTCATCTATTAATGATCATTGTTACGAAAAAAACTTTAATTACTTTTTTATGAATGGTGAAAATAGAAATTTAAGTTGATGAAATTCAATGTGCCGCGAATGTATGAAATATTTGAGATTTTGAAGTGTTTTGCCTTTATTACAAAATTCATACATGAAATACTATGATTCGAATCCGAGGAAACAAAAAATGATCAAAGAAACAAATTTATAGTCACAAGAGATTAGAGAAACTATCTGTAAGATAAAATTATGCGAAAGAATTGTTAATATCTTTTTGAACTTATTTTCGTTCTTTCTTTGGTATTTCAGAATAATCCATTTTCATTTTCTTTCTTTGACATCGAAAATTCTTGACAAACAATATTCATCGTACAAATGACGTTGAAGAAATCTACTAATTTATATCATTGTTTTGTAATATATGCTTTCAATTTTTACTCATTTGCATTCACTTATACATCGAAAAAAAAGTACAACAACAATATAAAAATTCTCGAGTTATTGCACAGCATTGAAAACATTCTAAACGGAAAAGACAGAAATCGTTAGAACCATCGCTTTTGAAAGAAGCTGAATTTATTTTTGTGTCATTTTGATAAGATGTGGATTGAGTAGGATCATCATATGAGATTTCATATGAATTTGTGGATGAATCAGTTGGTTGCATCATTGAATAAGATGGCGATGATAAAAGAGGTGTATCTAATTTGTCTAAACTCATTTTCGGTTATTGACATGAAAATTGTGTATCTTCTCGATTATTGTATACATGTGTATGACATTCTATGATGCTATGTGTTTATTTATCTTTATTAACAAGTATCAAAGGTAAATGTGAGAAAATGGCTGTAACTTCAACAAACGAGTACGATTCATTTATGCTTATCCACTCATATTGCCTTTCCTTCACTAAGAAAAACGATTTTAACAGTAACTTTCCACCAACTGTCGGTGCTGAATTCGTCGCTTCTCCATTCTCAAAATCGAAATTTCTTATGTATTTCGATGAATTTGTAGATCATTCATCAAATTGAGCTCGATCAAAAACAATTAAACTGCATATCATAAGTAATCTTTGGAATTTACTGAAGAGCAGTTTTGTTTCATTGTTCCAGTAAGAAACAGCTCGACAAGCATAATTCTGCCATCTTCATTAGGTTGAGATATGACTTTAACAAGACATTTAAAATGAGTGCTTCTCCCATAGTTAATTCAGCTACTTTATTTGGTATAAAATCAGGTTGATATATAAACGGTAGTGAATTCTTTGACACTTCTAACATATTGAATAGTATTACAGAGTTGCGCAAACACTTGACCAATGTTGATGGTCTAAGTAATTCGCCTCTACATATAGAGACTACATGAAAGCAGTTATAGTATAAATTACTCGATACGCAAGAGACATTGGTTCCAAGTAAAATACATGTCTTGCTGTCTTTTAGGCATCGTCTATCGTGATGCGACTTACGTCATTGTCATATATTTGATCTTACAGATCAAGTAAGTGAGAGGAATATTTCTTCTAGCCAGCGCTGCTTCTGAATTGTGAGAAAGTAATTAATGATATCTCGAACTATTTGCAAGAGATCGATCAACATGTTCATTCAAATATAAAGAAACTGTTGATCACTAGTAAATGGCATTTATTAAGTAAAAGAGTTTTTGATTATGCCAAGGGTAAAAGAAACGAAAAAATTTCAATAAATAATTGAACAGACGATTTCATTTCATGACGGTCCTAGGAGTATGCCAATGCGTTGAATATCTTGTATTTAGAAACATTAACTAAGAATTCGATCAGCATCGATGTGACTAATCAAAATTCAGCTGTGCTAGAAACCTGTGTGAGTGCTCAATCCGACATAACTGGCTTAAGAATTTCAAATAAGAGGATGAGGAGGTAAGGATCTTTTCATAATTCACGATTCGTAAAGTAGTCTGTTATACTAGCGCCCTCTTTCATTATCCATTGAAATAAAATCTGTCGTAGCCGATAACTAAGGAATGACGCTGTGTTACACAACATGGTTTGTTGGTCGTCGGATGCTCGTTCTGCGGATGTGAATGACTAATAAAGAATAAGTCATGCTTTGTTCGGCATATAGCCGAACGCTCGAATAATAGAAAGAGACAGCAGAGAAAAATGAATAAAATGCGTTGGTATATTCTTGCTAAAATTAACACATCTCTCCCATTTGCCAACGTCTTCACTGATTGACACTTCTGAGAACTGATGAATGTTCAAATTATTTAACTGTGTA